CTAATAGGAAGAGTTGTAATGAAGTAGGCATTTATCATCATTAATTATTTCATTTACATTATTGAATCAAATGAATGAATGAGAAATATTATAACATATTGAAATATTTCACAATAACATAGTAATAAAACGTTCAACCGTTTGATATCTTTAATAGGAGGGTCTATATCATCATTTTGTAATATGATGAAATCAAAACAATTCATATAATCATATTACATTTAAACCGCGTTCGTTATGTACACTAATAAAGAAGCAAGCTCCACGCATCCGACTTAATTAGCGCCTTCACCTATATTAGCGGTGAAATTAAGCATATCTTCATTATTTAAATAATAGGTGGCACGCATAAAGCTATTGATTGCATTGGCGATGAAACAAGCAGTTAATATTACTCCCTCAATTATACCAGAATTATACCAATTAATTACAGACGCCACTCAACATATGGAAGAAAATTATTTAACAGGCTCCTAAAGAGCAAACTTCACTTGAAAATTAGAATCAGTCCAACAAAAGCAATAAGCTTAAAAGTTATCATCCTTCAATTGTGGGAGAATAAGTAGTAGTAGTAGAAAGGTTTGCTAGCGCTTCAGCTTTCAAGCTATTTCGCGCCGGAGGTCAAAATGTAACATCGCCAGAAGGCGGAAGGTCTCAATTATTCAAAGTCTCAAATTATTCATCACCCACAAGGAGCGGAAGGTCTCAGTTGTCCAGCCCGCTGAAGCTGGCTCGAGAGACAGGTGAAAAGCAACAGAAACGAAGACACTCGAGCAAGAGGTCGCTTACACGGGACGTCGGCCGCCCGCACGAGAGAGACAGAGAAGGGAAATGTAAGGGATCCTACCTACATAATAACTCAATGTAAGGAATCCTACCTACATAATAATTTAGTATAAGTTATCCTACCTACATAATAACTTAATGTAAGGCATCGTACCTACATAATAACTTAACCCCACAACTGAGACCAACGGTCAGACACCGCGAGCTCAGCGGTGGGGCGCTCAGGAACAATCCCCCTAGGAGCGCGAAATCCCATAGGACTTCTGACGAGCACAGACACACGTCAGAAGTCCCCCCCTGAGGGGATGGGAGAATAAGGATTCCACCATCATCATCATATTATGGCACCGACAGTTCGTGCTGCGGAAAGTACAGATATCGACTTAGACTAAACAAGGCAGAAGCAACTCGATGTAGATAGTGTAAGATTAAAAAAAACTAAAAGAAAAACGTTCTAATCCTGAAAAAACTTATGAAGACCAAACTAAGTTTTGTGAAACAACTTCCGTGCGCAACCCTAACAGCGAAATATAGCGATAAGTTCGAGTATTAAACACGAAATTTACGACGTGCAATGCTCTAGATTCAAGCAATTCACTTAGTGAACAAACTATGATTCGTAATTAAGCAAAATAATCAAACTAATGCAATAAATTATGTAGATTACGGCGAAAATCATTCCAAATTAAGAAAGCACTTCAAGAACTAAAAATAATAATGAAACGAAAAATTTGTGACACACTATGTACCAAATGTGAAAAACATCAATTCCATACATAAAATGTAATCTATTCAAGAAGAATATCAATTATAGATAAAATTTTACCAAATTGAGTTCATAACATCGCCAGTGAAAGATGACTAAGCCTTATTTCGTTAGCAACACGAAAAAAACTCACTGCCTTAAATCAATGTAATCTCTTATTAAACTTCAAATGGAAATAAACGACCTACAGGCTTTTTTTAATACAAAAAAGAACTCGTGACAGAGCTCTCAGACAGTGAACTGCGACAGAAACGAAGATGCCTACACAACAACTTGACCCCACAACTGCCCTGCCTACACAACAACTTGACCATACTAATTGCATCCAATAATTAGATGCTTCGAAATCACTGTTTACATCGATAGTTCCACGACAATTTCAAAGACCAAAATAGTTGACCTGAAGAACAAACCTCTTTCTGAGTCACAACATTAATAATTACAGTAAATTTATTTACCAATTTCCCATACGTAACAATCATATAAAATACAATACAAGTACAATTATATTCATTTGGGACACTATAACAATGATCTTAATTACAATGTTACACGATAAGTAAATAACTATGAGACACGAGAAATATCGTCACAAATACACCTAACGAAAAATATTTCCTACAGAAGACCTAATAAATACGGCAACTGTTTAGGAATGTTTCATATTCAAGTACAAGTCATCAGTAAATTAGCTCGGCTAATATCCCAACATGCGTCTATGAAGTCACATTAAATTAAAAAAAAACAATACAAATTTAAGGATAAGTATTAGGAACTTTCTCGAATTCAAAGAACTAAAAAAATAATAAATTCGTTGTGAACGAGATATATGAAATAGTAACTCATAATTCGGGCAAAATGTCTGAGTAATTAAATGGCAGTTCAGATTCAGAAGACGAAAAAAGGAAAAAAATTAACTTTCTTTAACATCGCACTCTGAATCTCCGTCACAATGCAATCTTCATAAAAACAATGACAAACGGGACTTAAATTGTCAATAATACAAGTGAACAAAAGATTTTTTTCCATTACCCACGTATTTAAATCCAAGTTAACGGATCATATCAACATGGATTTTACTGGTTGAATCATCGAACTTTCGAATTCACATTCAAATAGACGCAACGGCAGGGAACAGAAGGGAACACATTTAAGTTTCAAACGAGAAATTTCTTCCAATGTAACGATTAACTTTATTAAATCTTTCAATCGGACCTGAAGATTCGATATATATAATAAGATTTTAGATACCAATAAAAAATATCCAAGTGTCCACAAGAAGTGTACAGCAGAAATGTCTAGTCATTCACGTATAAATGAGAATAATGCGAACATTCAAGTGTTTCATTGGAAATTTTAAAGAAAAATGTTATCCACTAAAGGTGTTCTAGAGAATCAATATCAACATTAAAGCATCAACAATAAAATTTCTTCATTGAAATGCAACAATGAGAAACTGACATAGACTGAATAGCAACAGAAACGTAAGCGTTCAAGCGGACACGGCAAGACATCACTTGCAAGAGAGGCACAGAGCGACAAGAACAGCAATATCGTTGTATCATTTCTTAACCTAATATTTATCATTAATACCAAGCAATCGTGATAATATTTGCAAACACAACGCGTTATGCAGGCAATCAATAATATACAACAAGTGTCGGATTGTTTCGTAGATGACGCGTACACAGACAACATACAGACATTCTACGTCTGCACTGTCGTAACTCTGTCAGATGACACTTGCTCTGCAGACATTCTACGTCTGCACTGTCGTAACTGTCACATGACACCTGCTCTGCAGACATTCTGCGTCTGCACTGCCGTAACTCTGTCACATGACACCTGCTCTGCAGACATTCTGCGTCTGCACTGTCGTAACTCTGTCACGTGACACCTGCTCTGCAGACAATCTGCGTCTGCACTGTCGTAACTCTGTCACGTGACACCTGCTCTGCAGACAATCTGCGACTGCCGTAACTCTGTCACATGACACCTGCTCTGCAGACAATCTGCGTCTGCACTGCCGTAACTCTGTCACATGACACCTGCTCTGCAGACAATCTACGTCTGCACTGTCGTAACTCTGTCAGATGACACCTGCTCTGCAGACAATCTACGTCTGCACTGCTGTAACTCTGTCACATGACACCTGCTCTGATGTTTGCTCTGCACAAAATTCTCTAATGATCACTGTAATATTATTACGTAATATTGTTATAATAATTATTTTATTATAATAATATTAATCTGTAATATTATTATATTATAATAATCACTGTATGTAAAAGAACACGCGGAACACAGCAAGACTCTCTTGATCAATATATTAAATGCACAAAATATACAGCAATTATGTTCATTAGAACACTTGTTTGAGTACCTAAAATATTTATGGAGCTCTCAGACCACATATGCCGCGCCAAATGAACACAATCTTATCACCATCCCAATATATTGTTTTGTTCAGCACATTAACAATTAACTGACATAGTTATTTCTCAGAAACCACTCACTGACTTATCTACAAACCAAAATACTAAAGTGATAAATTACTAATATTTGTAATATGGCACAGTGATATTGTGAACAAAAATACAAACGAGTAAATGTGCATAAAATTGCGATAATAACAAACAAAGGCTGAAACATGAACGAAGACACAATAAATATACAATGTTTGAAAAGTATTAAACAACTGAACACGTATTACAATGTATAGATACACGAGCAATAATTGCAATATCTAACTTATAGATCTACGCAACAGCGCATTATTAATTTACAATCATAATGTGAACGCTGTGACTTAAATTGAACAAATTTAATACATATTAAATAATCAGAAAGAAACTAAAATGTGACTTTTTGTACGCTCAATTAAAAGATTCTACTTAAAAATTACATTTTTCGAACTAATCAAAATTTATAGTGATTTTAAAAAACCCTAAATAAAATCAGACAGGGTAAGCAAACATCATATAATTTGTTCAACTCAAGATAGACACGCGCATGACGATTGTTTCGTTAAAAGCTTCCTTATGATGTTTAGTTCAATTATCATTTTAGGTCTCGCAAGGCAGACGTGAATATGGAACAGGATATAAAAAATAAAAAAAAATAAAAAAATAGGAATAGGTGAGAGAAAATAATACATTAAGCAATAAAAAAAGCCAGCAATGAATTAGTAGCAAAACAAAAATTATTCTTAGTATAAAATAAGAGGCAAAAGATCAAACTGAAACACGAGGCAAATTAAGGCGCAGCTCGAGGACGGATAAACAATTATTAAATGATAGGAACCATAAACAAACGTGCGTAGAGCCTGCATCACACGTATGTAGAGCCTGCATCACACGTACATAGAGCCTGCATCACACGTACATAGAGCCTGCATCACACGTACGTAGAGCCTGCTTCACACGTACGTAGAGCATAGAGCCTGCATCACACGTACGTAGAGCCTGCATCACACGTACGTAGAGCCTACATCCAAATAATAAGATAAAAGGGACGCAAGGGTTGCAATGGAACAAAAATGGACGCAAATAGAAAAGAGATGTAGGCATAAATCGTGAAAGCTAAACTCATTCATCAAAGAATTCAGAAGTGATGAATGGCGTCTATTCATGATGGGAGTTCAATATTAATGAGTTAAATTATCTGCAGTTAAGGAGACAATGACGGACAATGTGCACAATATAAGAGTTAATAACAGTGACTAGTGCGGGCCACTGACTTACATCCGAGTAATGCACTAAATTCTTATTGTTTATGAGTTAGAAAATTCGTCATGTCAAACCTTTATCTTGAACCAGCATAGTCATAGAATTACATCAAAATATCCATGCAAAAACGAAACATTTGTGCATGAAGAATCGCTATGAATATCAACATTTCCAAACGTTTTCGCGATCAAGTTTGTAATTTCAATTCACCTCTAATTCTAAGTTCGTCTAGACCATGAGTATCATTTCATTCATAACCTGCAAGTTAACAATAGAGGAATTCGCTTCAAATAACGCGCATCTTTCAAACAAATGTCTCAACCTTTGGTCACGATACAACAATCGTAAATCAATGGGAAATTTTGGTGTCATACGAAACTATAATAGAAGCAAGATTAATAATCTCTGTGAATGTTGAATACGCAAGGTTAAATGGTCTTTATAAACGCATGAAATAAAATGAAATAACGGTAGGAATTTAACGATAATCAAGCACCCTCCATTTCTCATCGGTGAAAACGGAACCAATTGGTTTCATAACCTCTCATGTTAATTTTTATTCAAGGTACACGCACCATGCTTTTCAAACTATACAAGTAATCAAACTACGGTACCTTTTGAATAGATAACGATATAGTTTAACCTTCACTAATATCGTTGATAGAAGATAAACAATCATGTTAATTGTAATGAACGAACATTTTCATGCTGAAATCGTATTATCATTACCGAAAATATGTAGACTAATATTCTTCACTCAACAAAGTTACTACGGCATAAAATTTACGTGTCCTGCAAAATAATAATCACACTCCATCAATTCAATCGAACTCAACTTAATTTCCTGTTTGAGAAGATTTCACGACAATAATAGGTCCTATGCAAGAATTAGTTACAACCGTGGGGAGGCGTGTCTTCCAACAGATACACACTCATGTTATCTTTGCCTTTAACAAAGACCTGTCCACGGGACTCCAATTTGTACTTCCTGCTAAGGACTTTAGCGCACTCTTCGCTCACTTGGATCCTACCCTTAACTCCTGTGGAGTCCATGCGCGATGCGATGTTCACCGCATCACCCCAGATGTCGTAATAAAGTTTCGTTGTTCCGATAACTCCAGCAGTGATGTCGCCAAAGTTGATACCGATACGCAAGACGAAGTTGAATCCTAGCAAATCCTTGTTGAAATGGTCTATTCCTTTTTGCAACTCCTTAGCAAATTCAACGAGTTCGAAAATATGATGGTCAGGATCGGAATTTTTGTTTCTTACGTCGGGATTTAGACCCGAAGCAGCCATGTATGTGCTTCCGATGGTCTTGATTTTAACGACGTTTTCAAAGTCCTCTCTGGATAAAAGTTCGTCGAAATCACCAACGAGTTCATTGAGGTATCGCAGACACTCTTTCCCCCCACAAAAACTTTCATCATAGAACTCATTGAAGTTCACAATGCTTGCAAACATGACCGCGACGCGCGTGTGGTTCTCAGAGTATTTAGCGTTGGTTGGTTTTATTTTATTGGCCACATGTTTAGGAATGATATTGTGCAGCATCCATTCGGCCTGGTCTTTCATGGCCTGCACTCGACTTCGGTCTAACAAAGCTTGCGCCCAGCCATGAAAACTGAGCCTGTAACTGATCTCGAACTCCCTGTTCAGGAGCCATACCAATCCTACCAACAGCGCAACCGTCACGATGATCTCCACGTGGAAATAATGCTCACGTTCACCGCACAAAAAATTGGGGGAATTTAATGCCGATAAGTTTGCGGTCAGAGAATCTGAGACATTAATAGAGATGGGTTCTCTGCCGGGTTGCCAGTTAGAGAGGATTTCTGTATTCTTTCGAAAATCTGAATCCAACGAAAAATTATTAAACCCGGTAACAACTTCAACTTTGGCACTGAATGGGCACGGACAAATTGGTGGAGCAAGAAGGGCTATAAGCACGCCTCCCCCAACGGTTACCAGAATATTCTTCATCCAGCAATTCAGTTGGACGAAATTACAGAAATGAACGGTGCCCACGAAACTGAGATAGCAGAAATACCGCAGCGTTTCCGTCTCTTCGGATAAGGAAGAGCACGAGAAATTTGAAAGAACCGCGGCAAGAGGAAGTAAAAGTAGAACTCCACCGCAGAAATGCCAGGTTTTCCAGCGGGTGACGCGGGTGTAGATAGTGTGGGAGAGCGACGGGGGATAAGGGGAGTCTGTTCCCCCAAGCTCTGGGTGGGAGGGGCGAGATTTGATGCGATCTGGGGACTGGGGTTGTTGTTTCGTCGGGTCGGAACGTTTCATTAACTGCACCTGAAAAATATCATTTGAAAGTAATTTGTATATTATAATAAGCTTTGAATAAAATGGGTTCACTTAATTTGAATGTGCGTTTAGCTCTTGCAAACTAATGCCTCTTTACTGGATCTGAAAAATGTCTATTCATCACCAATTTGTCTATAACAACAAACTTTCGGTTCCAACAAAAGTAGGTATTTCAAATGTTATACAAGGAATCATATTTATTCATGTAGGTAGTTAAGAAAATTGCTTTATACAATTCAGCCTTCCCTATACAACAACTATTTCCTGTAAATTTCTTAATAAAGATACCAGTTAAATACTTACACCTATATTACACCATATCATTAAGCTGTATGAGAAGTTAACTAACCTGCGACAAGGCAAGCAAAGCTCCCTGCCACAGCAGCACCACCCCCAGCAGCACCAGCCACAGCACAGAGGGCGGGTAAAGCACCAGCAGAGAGACCACGAGTATCACATGCACCACCAGACTGACGAGGATATCAAAATAAGTATTATATAGAGACGAGGCGAGTGTCTTGGCTTCGTCAGATCTTGGCTGATGTGCTTGCTCCCTGTACATCTTCTCCATGGAGGCGTCAAGGAAGCGCAAGGATATCTTCGAGAAGGGAGGTTCCATGTCGTAGTCGTAAGTGAAGGTGGTGCGTTTAGTGCGTTTCTCTTGCTGTACGCATCTGATCAGGCGTAAGTCGGACTGCTTACGCATCTGGTGGTAGCGGGTCAGGCTTGGGTCCATGCTTGCCATGGGGCTGTAGTCTGTTGGTACAGAACTAACGTAGGTATATATTCTAATTAAAATTAGTGAGCTGCAGTCTGCGGGCAACGAACAAACGTAAATATGCTATTTCAAATTAGGAATAAAAAACACATAAATAGCAATTAAGACTGTCGGCTTTGATGCCAGCTTGAATGAAGCCAGGTTCGCACCATACTACCGGGCACGTGCTAGTCATATACCAGACACGGTCCTGTCCAATTTTGTAATTGGACAGGACCAATTACAATTGTATTGTAATGTATTTCCATAGAAGTATTGACACCATGGGCATGGCATGTGCCTTGCCCAGCTGGTGTGAATGTTTCTATGGAAAGCATTAGAGAATATTGGACATGACCATGACTGGCATATGCCCAGCCATGGTTGGCAGTACCATGGTGTACACCATACTGTGGCCGGCAGTATGGTGTAACCCTGGCTTAATGTCTTACTGTTGGACAAGTAGGGACAAGTTTGATAAGTAGGAAAGTATTGGAAGTATTTTTCCAATACTTTCTTACTAATGCGCAAAATGTAAAAGCATTCTGCTTTATTAGCTTTTGTTCATAAATAACGTGGGTAATTTAACGTGCAAAATGAAACGTTAACAGAAACTACCCAAACGAATGGGACCGGTGAATAAATAGGATTAAGAATTAGTAAGATGAGAGCATTAATTACTTATTTACAGAAAAATGAATATATAAGTAGATACCAAAAAATTAAAAAACATAGTTCACAATAAAATCTAGTAAATAAATAATATTTACATTTATACAACATAATTAATTGATAGAAATTCAAACCATGATACGGCAGTAATAAGTTCATCAAGATGATAAAAAGAAATTATTTCAACAGAAAATTTAATCAGAGGTAAATAATTAATATTTGAAAGGATGCCGCAGGAACTCTAATTGTCTCACCTCCAGCGAGCGTGTCCAGTCCTTCAGTGTCACTGAGCTGAGGAGTGTAAGTAAGTAAATTAATTATTTAAATAAATAATTAATTTAAATCGATGTTAAAAATTATTCTGAATTTCTGTATCATTCTACAAGGCACCACCGGAATTCAGGACAATATTTACACATTCATTCAAATTATAGTTACAATAAATGGAAAAAATGAATTTATATATCAATATATATAAGAAATAATATCGAATTGAAATAGATAATATAATACATAACAATATAATACATAAATGACAGGTCTAAAAACATAGTGAAAGAGAATTCCATCATAAATTGAGAATCTAGCTAAGAGATCATGGCTTTATAAGGCAAGGAATAAATAAAATGTCAGCAATAAAGAGAAAATGTTATTACCTGGAAGCTAGAGCCACGGCTGCGGATGCCTGAATCTTTCCTAAGCTCCTTGGAGTGGTCTACGCTCCATGGGTCAGCCACTACACACGCAGGCGCAGACTGCGGCACAGACAGGCTGTCTGCGCGAGGTTTCCTGCCAGACGACTGACAGGGCAGTGACAGTAGCGCAGTCAGAGGCAACTTTGTCGTCAATGTTCCGTTACAGTCAGATGACTGAGAAGCTACTGACACGTCAACACAGTCAGATGACTGAGAAGCTACTGACACGTCAACACAGTCAGGTGATGAGTTATTTATAATAACAGGAACGGTAGATAAATTCTGGCTGTTGGCAGGAGAAGTGTTGATTGCAGTGGCTGACGGGGCTAAGTCGGTGGCTGGAGTGGCTGACAGATTTAAGCCACTGGCTGGAGTGGCTGACAGATTTGAGCCATTGGCTGGAGTGGCTGACAGATCTAAGTCCTTGGCTGGAGTGGCTGACGGGGCTAAGTCCTTGGCTGGAGTGGCTGACGGAGCTAAATCCTTGGCTGGAGTGGCTGAAACATCAAGTGTAAGGCTACACAGGCTCGCTTTTTGTCCACTTCGGAAGCCGTCTTGGAAAAACTGAAAACCAGAACAAGACAATAAAATCATAGACCTCTATTTGAGTCTTTCTATTTGATTTGATTTGATATTGATTACATAATCAAAATATAATACTATTCTAATTATGTAAACAAAATATTACTATACTTTCTATGAAGCTCATGTGGTGATTACCAAGAGCGCTAGATTGCCTGCAACACAATCAGCACTTCATATGCACATTATGTTGTATTGAATAAAGTAGGTAATATTGAACATGTATTATGGGTACGTAGGTGTTAAGAATGCAAGGAATGCGGGTCGAAGCGATATAGCAAGTGTGTAAGGGGCGGTTGTTTCGAGACCGTGGGAAGGGTTAGTTTACATTGAACGTTGGCGAGCTCAGCGCGAGGGACATTCCATTCGAGGAATGTGGCGTCACTTAGAGGGTATAGGCTTAACTGTGCGCGACACTAGCGTATATAAGGACCTCAAAATTGGCGCCGAGGGTTGTTGGTTCAAAGGAGGTGACCGTCACGCAAGCACGGTCTGCAGTCAGCGGACTGTATATAACGGCCGCGGCCGTGAGGCCGGCGGTGTTATATACCGTTTTCGAACATTGACGGTCGCGAGAAACCTGGACTTATCGAAGCAGCCTAGAGTCCGGTGAGAACGTCAAGAAAATCAACATCAACACTACGGCTGCGACTCAGCCGTGAGACAATGCGAGAGGGCCACGAGTCGTACAACGATTATAACGCACGTCATCAGAAGATTCAAGTTCGAGTTCTACACCGGGAGTTATCGTAAGTACGGTCATCAGTACGATACGGTCACAATTTCCATCAAGAAGAAGCGGTACGGTCACAGTCATCTTCAACCGCAGTACGGCAACGAGCTTGGAATAATATCATCGACGAGTAACACTACGCCACTATTCTGAAGTACGGTCGTTGTAAAAGAACCTACGGCCAGACTGGCCGTGAGGCATCTGTAGCAGCGAGACACGAAGGTTATGAAGAACAGCGATCGCAGGACGCGCGGCTACAGCGGCAGTACGACCACTTGGAATACGGCTGCAAACGCGCGGTTACAGCGGCAGTACGACCACTTGGAATACGGCTGCAAACGCGCGGCTACAGCGGCAGTACGACCACTTGGAATACGGCTGCAAACGCGCGGCTACAGCTGCGGTACGGTCGCTGAACATACGGCCGTAAACGGGTGCGTGAGTTACGGTCGTTTACAACAGTCGTACGGCTCAACGGAACTGCAATGTATCAACATTTTCCGGTAAAATTAGATGATTTTTATGATGTAAACTGATAGGTTTTGGACTTTTGATTGTGTTCAGATTACCTTTGTCAAGTACTAGAGATTTTTGTTAACGTAGGATGTGAACTTGAATTTTCCAATTTAATATGAAATGTACCTGTGTTTCATTACAACCCTCTCTCTGTACTATATTTTGCCAAAACCTATTCATACGAGAACTTAGTCATGTGCTTATCAAGCGCCACTCGGCGAAAACCTGACAAAACGATAAGTTATAAATACTTGAACCTGAACCTGAACATAACGTAAAATTGGTGGAGTTATGACTCGAGTGTCCAACTTTAAAATATATGAGACGATAGAAACTACTTATTATTTTTATTATTTTATTTTTTATTCTAATCAGTATGATTACCGTCAAAATAGGATCAAAATACATATTCATGAAATAAATGAAGCATCAAAAGACAAGTTCACATGGACGGTATGTATAATAGAAATGTATAGTTACTTGCCTTCTCAGAAGAGCACTCAGGCTTGCTTGAGATTTTGGGCAGTGACGAAGTTTTACTTTTGCCTGTAAATATAAATCAGTTATTAGCACTTAAAACGAGAGAAATAGTTAAAATAATCCGTACAAATAACTGTTTGAAATATTCACATATAATTTTGAAGAATGTCTCTTATGGAGTAATGAAAATAAGAAAATGTAGTCAAGTAATTTGCAAGTAGGCAACCAACTTTAAATAGAAGATGTTGAAATACAGCGATTAGTTTCAATAGTGTCATATATAATTCACGAAATATGAAATACGAGATGAAAGAATCTGAACAAAACATATAGCAAGACAATTTACAAGCTCCGTACTTTTATCCGGCCTTCTCTGCATGCGAGGCAAGCGAAATTTGGCCAATTCGAGCGCCGGGGTGAAAGATTTACGCCATTTGCCACTGCCCCAGCCACCCTCAGCCTTGCCAGCCTCCATGGCAGCCAGTTTGTTGTGTCGCTTCTTCCCTCGCCGGCTACCCGCTTGACTGACACAGGCCTCCCCTCCCTCACAGAGCTCAGTGCACTCCAGCATGTTGGGGAGACTGCACGTCCTCTTGTCGCGCTCCCCGTCCTGTGAACCTTCGTCGTGATCACCATCAATGGGTGGTAATGGTGACCGAGATACGGAGAAACTCCGACGACCAGTAATAAAATATGTCTTTTGTTCATGGGTGTCTGGTCCCTGAATAACGCGGTACTGATGTCTAGGTAAGAATGAGAGAGTAGCTTCAGATATATGAACCTGACCAGGCTTACCACTCGACTCTAAATGATTAGCGAATGAGACATCGTTACTCCAGACATCAAATTTAAAGCACTTGGTTCCGACAATACCACACAGAATTTTACCAGTATGTACTCCGACTCTCATGTCGACATTTTCGTTGTTATCTTTGTCGAATTGAGCAATGGCTGTTATCATGGATAGGCCCATGTCAACGCAGCACACAGCGTGATCTGACCGCGGGGTTGGACATCCAGAAACTGCGTAGTAACAATCCCCTAAGGTACTTATTTTCTCGCAATTGTGTTGTGCACACAAGTCATCAAACCTGCCAAACAAATCGTTAAGTAGGCCTACCAACTGTTCAGCAGTTTTGTTGGAACTCATCCTAGTGAAACCGACGATATCAGCAAACAATATGCTAACGTTATCCATATTATTCATGTTGAAAGGTCTGAAGACCATAGAACGGAGGTCGGTTCCTGTGTGAGACGACCGAGGGGTGGATAGTTTTTTCTTTCCATCGAAAGTTTCTCCTTCATCTTGCTCATGGAGGAGCCAGTTTGCGACTTTAGGAGGCATCACAGAGTGGATCATGGCTTCCTTCACGGCCTTCTCCCGCTCTAGCTCCCTCCTCACCAGCAAACTCTGGCCCATTGAGAGGAATGTTCCGCGCATGCGTACCTGCAAACAAGCTTCATTACTTAACATTAATAAGTTCCGAAAGAGCTTCATTACTTAACATTAATATGTCCCGCAGGAGGTTCGTTACTTAACATTAATAAGTCCCGCAAAAGCTTCATTACTTAACATTAATAAGTCCCGCAAAAGCTTCATTACTTAACATTAATAAGTCCCGCAAGAGCTTCATTACTTAACATTAATAAGTCCCGCAAAAGCTTCATTACTTAACATTAATAGTCAAAAGCTTCATTACTTAACATTAATAAGTCCCGCAAGAGCTTCATTACTTAACATTAATAAGTCCCGCAAAAGCTTCATTACTTAACATTAATAGTCCCGCAAGAGCTTCATTACTTAACATTAATAGTCCCGCAAGAGCTTCATTACTTAACATTAATAAGTCCCGCACGTAATAAAAGCCAGTGTATATTGGAGCTCGTTCAAGATCGTTATAAATGAAGTCAACAATGGACAAAATGCTGTAAGCAAGTCAGCGTCCATCACATTTAAAAAGTAGCTAAGAGAGCTCAGCTATAGAGTGGCTATATAATGCACTGCCTGCGTCACAAGTAGGTTTCTAGCGCTTCAGAAAATCTTGATCTATTTCGCGCCAAAGGTCGAACTCTTATTACACAGCGTCGTTGTTCTTGAATGTTTCGGACTTGCAGTTTAGTCCACCAGGACGACAATGGAGGTCGTAGTCTGTTTTGTAGTCCCAGTGCAGACGTCCGCTCGTTGGTTCCCATCGCTCAGTTGAGCGGTGAAGGCACAATGTCGCGAGGATTCGGCTAGGTTGTGATATTAGTATGCGAGTCACCAAGCTTGTGTACTCAGGGCAGGCCTAGAGTTCTCGGAGCAGGTTGCATTGCGTCAGATATTGCTTGAGGTTGTCTCGTCTAAAATTATTTCCGGGAGTCTCCTTTAGCATCCTGGCAAGGGTTTCGTGTTGTCTGTTCTAAAATTAGTTCCGGGAGTCTCATGACTGGAACACACACCTGAATTGAAGTTGCCATCACAGCAGGGCTGGATAGGCCAGTGCAAGCCTCCAGTGAAGGATCATGCAGAGCATATGGCAGCAGAGAAGAGCCCAGCAACACGGCTGACACCAGCAGTGACAAAAGCACTGGGCGACGCTGAGCAAACCGTATTGCAAATTAGAAATGAATTATTTAGAAACCAGGAATTCCTATACAAACAAGTATTTTCAATTAATTTTTCATCACAAAAAGTCCAAACAGAATAAATATTTGCAACATTTTCATCAAAAGTTATATTTTCTCATACTATGTTTAATGGTGAAGTTTATCCCCACATCAAGTACAGTACCATAATATTTATTAATATAAGATATGGTACCTTATAAAGCTTTGAGAATGTGATGGCAAAGAAGATGATCATGAGCAGAGCAACAAGCAAGGCAGCAGAGATGGAGTAACCCTGGTGCGGTGCTCCAGTCACCAGCCAGTAGATAATCCACACAACACAAGCAAGCACTGTGTACCCGAGGCAATAACGCAGGCGTAACCGAAGAGTTGAACGAGAAGAACGGACATATTCATCCTCTAAAATATCACTGTCAAACCTGTAGGTAAAAAAAGATCATTACAAATGATGAATTGAAATATTAAGTATAATTAAAAAACAAGTCCAAGAGGAATATGAAACTCAAGTTTAAGTGGATTAATGGAAACAAAAAAAATTTTACACCTATAAAGACATTCATACCTTGGATTCCACCAAGAGCGAGCTGCTCGCTCAAACAGGTGAGGACAACAGCTTCGACTGTGCTGTCTCTGGGTCATGGATGCCAAGAGCAGGGCATGAAGGTGCGGAGTCAGAGACAAATCGACAAGACTTTGGTCATACTCATTGGATCCTGGTTTGGGCTCTGTGCTTGCATCATTATGAGCAACATTGTTGTCACTAGGATTCAGAAGGTCACTAGAATTGGGTACCATTTCACTAGGAATTACTAAATTGCCATAAACATCTGATTTAGGCGCACCCATTGATAAACTGGCATTGCTGGTAGAAGAGTTATTAACACTTAAAGGATTAGAAGTAGCCTCTTTAAGATGAATAGATTCTTGCATAGGCATTATACTAGGAGTCTTAATATCATTATCACTAATGCTTTTCATAAGAGCACCATTATTAATATTATTGACAGATGTGTTTGTTTTGCATTCATGTTCCTCACTACACACAGGTTGAAGGCCAGAATTACACATTGATGTGTTTAACAAAACATCTTTTTGTTTATCAAGATATTTATCATGTTTTTGTTTATTTTCAAACAATGAAGGCACACTTGATTTTGCATCATCATCAGAATCCTGATCAATCAGAGGGAAACTGACATCTCCGGTGAGAGAGAGACGCGCCAATAAGGGATGATACTCTGATAGATGTTGGCTTCCATCAAATAGGTTTGAATTGCTGGAACTAGTTTTCCTTTGACTACTAATACCATCCATTGATGCAATTGAAGAAGATTCACTGATATGCAGTTCAATGGATGTATCTTGAAGGTTTGAACCAACTGAACTGGAATATGGCAAAATAAATGATGATAAACTTGTGTGGTTAATTTCGTCTGGTGCAAGTGCAGGCATAGGAAATAAGTCTTTTGCACCAGCATCCTTAGTTAATATTGATGAGATGCGAGGGAGTGGGGGTGAGGTAGACATGTCTTCAGCAGTAGAATCTACAGTTTGTTCACGCTGCATGGACAGAGAAGCCACCAATGAGGCTTCTGTTCTTTTGCTGTTGAGATCATTTTCTTCAGTTTTTAGAAGTGTTGAATGCAATTTTGGCATTTCATCTTCACTCTGGGAGGAAAAAATGCTGATTTTATGACAAAAATCCAGTTTGATCATTTTAAAATATCATTACTTGCAACATTAATCTCAAAAAATTCTTTAGAGTTTTATATACATATTCATCTCAAAATGAAATACACCTAATTAAAAATTAGGTATTTACTGACCACACAGGTTGAATAATAAAAAGCAATTACCGTAGATTGTGATACTGAAACACAAACTTGGATACGGTAGGTATGTAGTCTCATAAGTGGGTAGCCCAGGTCATGAGAAATATTAGGATGATATCAAACACATGCAAGGTACGGTAGGTAATATTGTTGCAAATATTTCAGATTTGAAAATTAAGATATAGTAACACAAAAAATAAAAAAGTTGTATTTATGAAAAAAGTAATTTTTACTATAATAGAATAAAATTCTGTAAATAAATACATAGGTATACCTATAGGCATATATATATACCTACCGTAAAATGGGGTAACTTAGACCGGCGGGGTAACTTAGAACACTTTTCGTTTTTTTAACAAAAATCCCCACAACTCAAAAACTATTTGACATAGAAAAATTTTGTCAATGGGCATTAAAGGCCTAATACTGAGGCTACATAACACAATAGAAAGATTTGAAAAGTTTGCATATCTAATACGTTAAAAAATTAAAAATGTGACCCACGAAAAAAAGCTATTATTTAAAATTACATGAAGACTATGAGAGGCAGGAGTCAGCAATTTATGGTGAGTGAAGCTAGAGTATAGACCTGTATTTTGCAGGTTTCAATTTAAGTTTAATTTAGCTAGTAAAAAAATGGCATCATTTGTAAAAAAAAAGTGGTCTAAGTTACCCCATTTTACGGTATATTCTAATTAAAAATATATTGAAATTAAACCAATTTGGGACAATTTTTATTTCAGTCAAGAACTGCCACCATGATCACAAAAATATTTCTAACAGTTTATGAAGATGGGAATTAATTCAGACTTTCTCCTTGTAAGTGAGAAAATTGCTACCTTTGGAGAAGTAGGTACCATCAACCGGGGCTACTCGAGACAATTTTAAACGTTTTTCATTCATAACTTCTTATCATGAAACATTTCATAAACAAATTTAGGCTCATTTCAAAGCTCTTTGCAAGGGCTATTGCATGGCTTCTCCAAAAAAATTCCATATGCTATTTGTAAGGTGCCAGAAGCAAAAAAAAAAAAGAGTGTCCCGAGTAGCCCCGTCGAATGTGGCTACTCAGGACACTTGGAATAAAACTCAATTTTAAAAAATTTGAAGCATGCAGAGTGTACTCATCACTCATCCATTACTAAAAGTACTCTGAAGTCCTCCTCTTTAATTGTAGATGATGTAGAGGTAGAATAAGTCTCATTTTCTGTGATTTTTACTTGTTTTTCCTTTATTGATATATTACCATACACATTAATTACCATATTATTAATGCGATATTACCGTATCCATGAACAGGCCATTGAGCATTTCAACTACCTTGTCCACTGCAAGCTTCATATCAGCAGCCTTATAGCGTTTTTTCTGTATCTGTAAGCTTACAGGACGGCTTGTAATTTCACACCATTTTAATTGGGTTAAATGAATTTACTATAAAAAAAATATTGTGAAAAACATACCTGAAACAGAAAGGAATGTTTTAGTGACAACCATCATATGTTTTGGAGAAATAAAGCATTGTTTAGGTCAATTACTTTTAATTCTATGATGCCTGGTGCACAATTCTATATATGACATTCTATGCACAATTTTGTGATGACCAACGAATGGCGACAATGCACTAATTTTTCGATAAGTGAAATTTTTTTTGCTGAGCAAGGTAAATGTAATCAATATTCTTTGTTTTTAATCAATTTTTTATAACTGGAGCCTTTGCTAACTGAGGTTCTACTGTAAATGCGTTTTTGGGGGTGTCCCAAATAGCCCCTGGGGGGTGTCCCTAGTAGCCCTGCTGTGCGGAAATGGCCACCATTTTTTTTTGATTGAGGTATGTAAATTCCGCAAATAAAGTTTTCATGCTGACACTTGTCTGCCACTTTCTTCTAAGTGAAATTTTTTAATACAGCAAATATTTTGTTTACTACAGACCTTAGCAGAAGTAACTTTTCAAAATATCGTTTATCACCACTTTCTTCAGGAATTTTTCAAAGCTAGTAAATATAGTATTTTTGAACTTCCTTTACACTACAAAGATAGGAAAAATGTTGATGTTTATGCCACTCAGCCACTATATTTAGTTTTGCAATATTGCAATTAGTTTTGCTACTAAAACAGTTTTAAGCCGTGTTGGACAGTTGGAGGACTGTCCCGAGTTACTCCGGCCATCCCGAGATAGCCCCGGTTGACGGTATTATAAAACATTATAATCATTATCATGTTTTCTGAGCTTTGCTGCTTGGTCCATTTTCTATCATAGAATTTGTCAGTCCTTAAAATATTTATGTCGGTGGTTTAGTAGGTAACACTGTCCTGTCATTATGTCATGGCTTGCCAAGTAGATATATTCCATGCCTAATTCCAATTGAGGAAAGTATCTACTTTCTGAGCCGCAACTGGATTTTTTGAGCTAAGAATTAAAGAACTTTCGAACCATAAGCCTATTTCCTAAGCCATGAAAAGCCATTCCTGAACTGCCAACTCATCGCAATTGGCATTGGCAGACATATTGGCAGCAATGGCATGCATGCATATGACAAATAAGCTCTAATTTCATCCTAGAAATAGCAGTTAGAACATTATTCCCTAATTCACATGCAATTTAGCTAATACTAATGCCCAGGATGGAATTCTAATTTCAAAGGTTCATATATCATTTTGATCCACCAAGACCACTTTTTCTACCCAACATCGTTATTTGAGGCAAAAAATGAACTTTTTAAAAGCTTAAAATATGTACGCTAACTTGCTCAGTTTCTATAAAGTACCTAATCACTTGGAAGTTGTATGCCTGCACCTTTCACTCAACAATTAAAATTAGACTTATAAAAAGTATTAGTTAGCTGAAAATTTGTCTCTTAAGTTGACCGCAATGAACTAAACTTCATTAAGTAATCATTAGGCTGCTTAGGCAGAGTTTTCCATCATGCACACTAAACACGCAATTCAGAGTTCAGACGAGCAGAACTACATAACACGTGAGCTAATGTGCTACTGAATTGAATACATAGTTTCTTTCCCGCATCCCACTCCCGGTGCATAATCTAGCAGGATGATCAATGCGGACGGTAACTGAGTCCAACTAATCACTCGTATACTTAGTGCAAGAGAATGAATAATTATGTTGTTTCTAATCAAACGAATGAAAACCTTTTCTGTTTCTGATCAAACGAATGAAAACTTCTGATCAAACGAACAAAAACTTCTGATCAAACGAACGAAAACTTCTGATAAAACAAACAAAAACTTCTGATCAAATGAACAAAAACTTCTGATCAAATGAACAAAAACTTCTGATCAAACAAATGAAAACAAACTTTTGAAGATAATTCAGAAATCGTAACGTCTATTGAATTCTAATCAGGATCATTAATTTAGCATTTCTGAAATAGTAGGAACATTTCCATTATCATTCTAAAATAGAAGAGTCATTTCCGTTCTTATATATAAGCAGGATTAATAAAATACCTATCAAATCCATCCAATGCCATTCAATTTGTGATGTATGAACGACAGTTTTACTTTCATCCCTATGATGCTCATTTTTACCAATTGAAGCTGTAGAATTAAATTAAATTAAAAAATTAATTAAAATTAAATGTTACCAAATCAAATTTCATTATTTAATACACTAGATGGTACATGCTGCAGAATTAAATTCTATTAGAAAAATGTTGAATTAAAAATCTAATTATATTTTTTAAATTAAAAATTATTATTTATTATATTAAATTGCATTATTAATGCAGGTATATGGTACATACATATTTATTGTATATAATGAAATTGTTTCCCACTTTAAACAACGAACATTTTCTAAAAGATACAAAAAGTTTGAAAATGCGTGATGGCAGATGAAATCAGTCAGAATTTGACGTGAATTTATCAAGATAAATTCAACATAATAGGGCAAAAAATAGAGAAAATTCAAATCTGGAACGTATAAATGGGTTGTTATAATTCAAAAAAACTTTCAATCATTTAAATCTCAGAATGGAATTTGAATCAAATCTATTTATTGTGAAATCAAACAAGACACAACCAAAACAAAAGCGTGTGTGACGGCGTCCTGAAATACGTAAACATAGGAAGTATGATGTGAATGTA